CCAGTCTTCTCTACGGCTCGGGACTCCTTCCAAGAATTCTTTATAGGCCAAATAAGTACTTCACATGGTCTTATCGTTACAGGGTTTCGCATTTGAAAGCTCCTATAGGTTACAGAAATAATTAATTAAATTAATTAACACCAGCTATAATCGAACTATTGACCTCGTCTGTGGAGGGTTAGGCGCCTAGACCACTAGGCTATGGGACCCTAACCCCGCTATATTAATTTAAAAGTCAAATTATTATATGTATTTGAGTATTAAAAAAGTTTAATTTTGCTATACATTATTTAAAATGCCTATTAAATAAAACAAAATTTGCTATTTTTGCTTAAATTTTGATAATAGATATCTTAATAACTATTAATTCAAATCTGCTTAAATTTTTACTATAGATATTATCAATATTCTTCTATTATATAAAAATTTTAACCAATTTAGACTAGTAGTTTTTAAATAATTGTTTATATATAATAGTTAATTTTTTAAAAAAAATTAACTATAATATACAACAATTACTTAAGAACTATTAGATCAAACTAGCTATAAATATATATAATATTATTAATATTATTTATAGTTAATTTGAATTAATAGTTATCAAGATATCTATTAGTGATCCAAATTGTTAGTTAAAAAACCAACTAGTTGACAACTAATTGATTAATCAATTTAAAATTTTTTAACTAACTAATTATTGAATAATTATTTATATAATAAATTTACAATATAAAATTTTTTTAGTCAATCAAAATAATAAAGAAAATATATGATTATTTTATTTTACTAATTAAATTTATTAAAATATTTAACTATTAGTTGCAATTAATTAACAACTAAGTTAATAATTAATTGATTAAAAAAATTTTAATCAGCTCAGAATACTAATATCATTAGTATGTAAATCACCAGTCTAAAAAATTTCGCCCTATCACGTGATCAAAGATCATTCAATTAAATTTGTGCAATATCATTATTAACAAATTTAATTGAATTTACTATTACCGTTACTAATATGTATAATATTTCTTTAAAAACTGTTGCTGTATTATAGCAAAAACAACATAATAGAAATTCTACATGCACATTAATTTATTTTATTTTATAGGGTGTAAATTAAAGGTCAGTTCTGTATTCCGAATTATATATTTGCCTACTACAATCTTTAATTAAAATAATAAAAAGGTTAACAATTTTCAGATCATTTACTAGCTACTTTACGTAGAAATAATTGGTTTCTAAAAATGTTAATAATAAAAGCTGCAGCAAGCTTAAAATTTGACCGCATTAATATAGAAGTTTTTTTTTTACGTACATAGCAAAAAATAAATTTTAAGCTCAAATAAGATTCAAATTTATTTTATTATACTTTTAAATAACAGTAACAAATAAATTTATTACTATATAAGAAGCGTAATACATTGAATTTTTTTAAAAAAATTTTTTTTTAAAAAAAATTTATATATAAAATTCAATTTACGATTCTTTGCCCTTCAAATCCAAAATATATTGTGATTTTGATTCTTCCAAGTATTTTGAATCTTTTGACGTCTGTTATACTGCTTACAATCGTTTACCATTTTACACTAAGAATTAAAATTCTTATCAATCGAATTAATCTATTTATCAGCATTCAGATTTTGAGTATTCTCCTCAATAATTGATTTAACACGTTTCATTAATGAATAAAGTTCTTTTTTGTGATTTATAAGTTCTGATGATTCGAAATCGTACCAATATAGTTTTGACAAGGTAATTCTAAATTATAATAACAATTAAGTTATTGTTTTTTTTACTAAAAAGAAACTTTAATATCAAAGGTATTTTAATTACCTAAAGCTTCTTTATTAGAAGTATCGTAGTCACTAGATTGTTCATCAAAATTATCGTTGACTAAAGCCTTTTCATCCAACATATATTCTGTTAGTAGTTTATTTAAAACTGTTAAGAAAAGATTTTCTGGTAGATTTTAAATAAATTGTCATATTGCTCATTGATTTGTAAAAATGGATAGTATTCTTGCCGATGAATCTAAAAAAGAATTATCAGTATATATTTACTATATACTGTATATATACAGTATATATATTGATATATATACATACCTTTTTAAAAAATCTAATTGGAACTGGATTTACTTGCTTAATCAAATGTTTATAAATAAAAAAGCGGCTGAACAAGAAACTCAAACAGGAGCATATCTATTTTTGTATATCAGTAACTCATTGAGGATTAAAATAAATTGCCTTTTTTTTAAGTTGATTTCATTCCACTTTTAAATCAGTTTTCCAATGTATTACAGTTCGACCATCTCTTAATTGCTGTAATTGATCAACTTGTCCAGGTATAACTTGTGTTACAATAATATAGGCTAGTAAATCTAAGCGTACACGATTATATTCTGAAAGGTAATCATGTTTAATTAATCTCCAATGATTTTCAACTATTATAATAGATCGTAAAACATTAATGTAGCTTGTCACAGAACGAGCCCATAAATTTCATCGTTCTGGATAATACTATCCATTTTACAAATAAATCCAAACATGTAACAAATCATTAATTTTGCAGTATTCATATTGTTCTTGAACACATTGAGCCAAATTTCACTGGCAGATCTAGCATAAGATTGATGTTCAGTTGGAATTAAGGGATGTAATGAAAAATGAATTCGAATTGATTGCATAATATGTTCACGATAATCTTTTTAACAAAAAACTTTATTATTTTTTGATACAGATTCACATGTTAGCTACCAGGTTGGATCTATAATTGGACAAGTCATATGTGCCTCTTTTGCATTGTATATAGGGTAAATAATTTCAGTACTTGCAAGCTTCTTCTTTATTGCATAAAACATGTACTAATAACACAATTGAATTCATGCTTGAGGCCAAATTATTTGAGCAGAGGTAATTTGCGCAAAATCCTTATCACTTAAAAAAGTTTTAATATTATTAATACCTTGCTTCTTAATTATATAAACCCATTTTTGAAGAATTTTTGTTCGTTTTTCCTTTTGCCCAGGTTTTAAAAACATGTAAGTTAATGGGAACCCGGCTCTATCTATAATCCCAAGAATTGCATGCAATTCATAATTTAATCAGTTTGTTTTATATGTTGCGTCAATTACAATAGTAGTTATATTGTTTTTTGGAAAAAGGTTGAATAAAGGAGTTGTAAAAGCGATAACAGTAGGTTCTTGAATAATAGTTTTAAATGCTGTTTGTTGTGAAAGGTATTGGATAGTCAATTCAGTTTGATCTTCACCAATTTTGTATTCATTAAGTCCTGATCGTTTACACCAATAATAAACCTGATGTTTTGTAATATTAAGATAACCATCAAGACAAGCAATCTTTATATTACGATATAATTGGGGAACAGTAAGAAGCTTGTTATTTTGAATGTAAGCCTTAATTTCTGATGAAATATTAATAGAACAGGGCCATGGGTGAAGTAAATGATAAACATGAATATAAATTAACTCATAAGACTGTTTAATTGTAATAAGAATAGAACCCTCACATTTAAATCGTGGAAGTCGAGGTTCAGTATTTCGTTGCTTATCAATATCTTCAATGCGAGTTTTTTTTTTTTGTCTTTCAAATTTACAATTACAGTAAAAGACAAAAGATACACCATCTTTTAACTTATTACAAGTATGGTAAACATAGGTATATTCATCAGCTTTAGAGATAAGATCTATAACTTGATATGCGATACATTTATTACTTTCATTGTTATCAGTGGTTTCAACACGATCAAGAAAAGTATCAAGAAAAATTGCAATTTTAACATCGAATTTTTGCTTACAAGATTCCATATTTTCGATACCTTTATAAGGTTTCAAAAAACCCAAAAAAGTTTCTACAAGATGTTCTCGTTTATAAGCAGAGTCTTGAAGTTGTTTTATTTTTCATTTTCAATAATTTTTGCTTTATTCTTATTTGCATTTTTAATTGCTATTTGGCATTTATTACATGATCGAACGGTTTTATTATTCAATCCAATAAAGTTTTCTTTTGAGTACCATCCTCTACAATAATCACACTTAAGTAAATTTTCTTTGTTATTATTTATTATACGATGTTTTAAATGCAAAGTGAAAGTGTATTAAGAAAATAAATTTATCATAAAACTTTTATATAAAATTTATGATGTTTAAGCAGCACAAAAAAAAAAAAAAAAGTCAAAAAAGTTTAAGCAAGTTTAAATGAAGCAAGTTTGTTATAGTTTTGACGTTTAATTGTAATAACAAATTTATATACGTGTAAGGTAAGCAAATAAAAAAAAAGCCACTAGTTTTATTACGAATATAACAAAAAAAGAATAAAACGCGAAAAAAAATTTAAATGAATAATTTATATACAGATCTACACGATCTACATTTCACGTGATACAGCAAAATTTTTTAGACTAGTAATACTTGATCTATATACTAATATCCATCATCAAAGTTTGGGTAAAAATAGCAAAAATTTATAATAATTGATTATTAAACAAATATATTATTTTTATTTAACTTTTATAATATATATCTTAATAACTATTACTATAACTGCTATATACAAAACCCAGATCTGTTTTATTTTACTGATTTTAAAATCTTGTATAGGTGTAGGCCTAATAAATGGGGTTTATTCTGTTTTATTAATGTTCTTCTATTTATATATTCTGGGTTTCTACACTTTACCAAAACTTTATTCCATGTTATAGACCTGGGTTTAGTAATAAGAGGTTTAATATATAGGCCTTGTATATAGCATTTTACAGTAAACAAAATCTGTTTAAATTTTTATTATATAGTATCTATATTCTTTAAGTAATTATTTGTATACAATAGTTAGTTTTTTTAAAAAAATTGACTATTTTATACAAGACTAAATTGGCTAAAATTTTTATATATAATAGAAGAATAACAATACTATCTATAATAAAAATTTTAGCAAATTTAGATTAATAGTTATTGAGATATCTATCATCAAAGTTTGAGTAAGAATAGTAAAAATTTTATGATAATTAATTATTAAATAAATATAATATTTTAACAATAAATATCACAATAGCTATTAATCCAAATCGGCTCAAATTTTTACTATATAGTATTTATAATATTTTATTATATATAAAAATTTTAGTTGATTTGGCTTGATAATTTTTGAGTAATTGCTTATATATGATAGTCAATTTTTTAAAAAAAATTTACTATCATATACAAATAATTACTTAAGAACTACAAGACCAAATCGGCTAAAATTGTTATATATTATAGAAGAATATCTACATTATTTATAATAAAAATTTAAGCCGATTTGGATCAATAGTTATTGAGATCAATCAAAAAACTCTCCCTGACAATCACTTGTACCAAAATTTTAGCTAATGGAAAAACACAACCTTTGTTGGAGAGATGTGGCTTTACATTGCAGTTTGTCTAGAGGTCAACTATCTGTGGGAAACTCCTCTAAAAGGATGTTTGGCATGCAAGCCAAGAGCGTTATTATACAAGATAACTGGCAGGCGGTGCCCTTGTATAAAAAATCTTGGTGAA